CACCCCCCCCCCCCCATGTCAGCGAGGATGGTAATAAAGTGTTGTCATTTTCAGCCAGTCTTAAAACAAAAGTTGATTTTAACTAATAAAGGTATAGATTAAAAATAAAGGACTCTTAATACCATTAAACCCCTCATTCACTTAATCGTAAACACATCTTCCACCATAAGTAGGATAATTTTTCCTGTGTGTGTGTGTGCGCGTGTGTGTAACAGCACAGAGTAAACCTTATTGTAGAATTTTGATTGCAATTTGAAGTTCTTCACATGTGCAGGATTTAAATTTCATGTTCTTACTGAATAATTCATGAAGAAAGTGTACTCTAATTATCCTAGTTCCTGTATGATATTCATGTTTTTAGAAGAACTGAGAAACAGAAGCAGCTTGCTTATATAAAAATATTTGCAGTATGTTGTCATATATAGCTGTTTAGCAGTGAGGTTACTCTCTCTCCATGAGTAGGTGGGCAGGGCTAGAGGATTCAGGACTACAACTATGTAGCCAAAGGACAGTTTTCTGACTGCTTGTATGGCCTTATCTTGTAGTACGAAGTGGCCTTATTAAGTTGATAATAACTTTTGCTTTGTGATCTCCTTTTCACATACTTCTAGTGCTGACTGGCTGTGGAGATTGAAGTGTACTCTTTGATTTCTTTAAGGGGGTCTAAATATATGAAATCATGCAGAAGAAAGTTGTCTCGTTTTTTTGACTCCTAATAGGACTGTTTCTTATCCTATCATGGTATTATGCATGGCGTTGTCGCTGATAGTTTGACTGGTCTGTGTGCTATAGAGTACAGTTCTGTTCTGAGAATCTTAACTCGAAGAAGGGAGTGTGTCAAATTTCTCAAGAAAAAGGTGGTTTCCCAAATCTTATCAAGATTTAAATTAAATGAGGTTTTAAAACAAATCCAATGTTTAAGCACTCTTGTGCAAATCAGATGTTGCTTATTCTTCATTTGCTTCTCTTGTGATGTCATCCCACTCATTTTGATGTGCTGGAGGACTGGACAAGTCCAGACCTGATATTTCTAATGCATAAACCAAGCCCCCAAATATTTTGTGTCCTGAAGAAACAAAAAAAAGACAAGTATTTTCCCTGCTTTTTGCCTATTTTGGTTGCAGATAGAATACAATATAATATGTTCTTTTGCTGCAGGAAGTAAACATATTTAGCTACTTTCTGGTTAGATGCCCCAAAGTGGTGGTGATTGGGGGACTTCTTTGTTTAAAAAAATCATAATCGCTTCCCTTCTAACACAATTCAAACTGAACTTCACCTTTGTGTCTGGTTGTTGTAGCTGTTACATTATTTTTATGGTACTGTACAATGGCATAACTCCATAATGCTACCAACTGGATATTGTTTTCTGGGGTTTTTTTCTCTTTTCTCTAGATTTTGTTTAGTCTAAAATTTTTTTACATTTATGGAAAAAGAAAATTCTGGAACTGTTTTACTACAAGTGTGTTAATGTCCTGTAGGGAGAACAGTGTCAGTCAATGCAGTCTTATGATTGCAACTTAAATGCAAATTAACTATCAGAGGATCTAAACACACCCTTTTGATACATGTCTCTTATGACTGATTTCAGGTTACTACTTTGGTTTTACAGTATGTAGCCATAAAAAATGGTATGTGTAACAAGAGCTGCTAATACTGTTATCAAAATATTAATTACCATGTTCTCTTTAAATGTGTGATCCTTCATGTAAGGGTATGGCTAGACATATTTTCATATGAAGTTAGATGCACTGTATTATTTAAAGTGAACTCACTCTTGTGAGTCACTGGGCTGCTGTTTAGGTCCAACCTTGGACCTGACATGCTAGAACTAGATGCAGTACCATGTCTGCACATGGCCTTTAGTCAACTCTGAGGCAGAGTTTCCTGTCCTGGTATCCTTTTGTGGGATGTGGAGCCCTTTTGCCGAGCCATCCTAGGTGTCCAAATTAGTACAGATGTTCCAAGGCTGTCTTGTATCTCTCACCACCTCCAGAGCACAATTCTTGTGGGTACTCGGGATTACCTGCTGGGATTTTGTGAGAATTACCAAGTCTGTGTGCGTACTTTAAAGGACCTGGCTTGTGGTCTAGAAAGGCTGTGTAGAGTTTATTGTCATTATAGCAATAAGAATAATATTATCAGCATAGTTCTAGCATGGACACAGTTTTTATGCTGGCAAAACTGCTCTTTCCAAGACCCACTGAATTAAATAAGCCAGTGGTTCTCAACCAGGGTACTACAGCACCCTGCCAGGGGTGTCATAATGCTGTTGCAAGAGCATGTGCTCCTACCACAGCAGCTTCTTGATCTGGCTCCGCAGGAGGCGCACAGCTCAATTCCATTTGGCCATGGTGGCAGTGGTAGTGGGGTGAATATAACATAATCTAATCAGTTCACAATGTATTAGTTAATATTATCATTATAATGTTTATAGTATAATATTAGTTATTTAATGAGGTGCTGTTAAATTTTGAAAAGTTTTTAGACTCTAGATGCCTCCCCAAAAAGGTTGAGAACACCTGAAATAACCTGTATATTATCTGTATAGCTTTGCTTACATAAAGGCATCTGCTCTAAAGTTTTGGCCAGTATAGCTGCCTGAGGTCAGGTATCATACCCTTTGATACTTCTTATCAATCTAGCTATGACTAGAAGTTTATAGTGTGGACTTAGCTATAGACAGCCCTTGAGAGGTACAGATCTTTGGAAACTCATATAAAGCTTTTCCTATGTTTTTTTTCACCTCTCCCAAGAGTTCATTGTGTCTTTAGTGAGAATCCTCCAAAGAGACTTTCTACCTCCTCAGTCTTGTCTTCTGGTTTTAGCCTGTTCCTTCTTTTCAGAGTCACCGTTTTAGTGGTAGATTCAAATATCTTTGTCTCTTCATGTTTTTCTTTTGGGGCTTTTTTCCATTCTGTAATCCTCTAACCTACCATTTGAACACTGGATAAGAGAGATTAGGAAGTCGGTAGTCTTGGCTTGTCAGCTTCTACCGCTGTATTCAATGCAAGGCTAGTCAATTGCCCTGGAATGGGGGTGACACTTAGAGGTGAAGGCGTGATGAGATCTAAAGTGCGATCCACACAGTTATGCCTCCTGCCATGCCACATTGTGGAACTGCGCATTAGAAACTATTGCCCTTTACTACCTGTGCAGAGGAGCCCAATCCTGGGCTCCTGTGCTGGCAAGAAGCAAGCTTCTACAGGGAAGATGCAGCTGCTGCAGTCTCTGGCATGTGGCTCCCCTGCAGGTGGGAGATTTGCAGCAGCTGCAACACTGGGTCCCATAGCTGCTATGATCTCCCAGTTGTGGGGGATGCACTATGTACTGCCGCAGCTGGGAGACTGCAGCAGCTGCAGGGACACTCCAATCACCCCTGGGGCTGGGAGATCACAGCCACAGGGCACTATTGGGACCCAGCCTCCTGCAGCTGTGGATGCTGAGTCACTGGCACTGTGGGGTGCTGCTGGGAACAGAGACAGCAGCTGCAGGATGCTGGGTCTCAGAAGCTGTGGAGTGCTGCCAGACCCAGAGTCCATAGCTGCTTGGTGCTACTGGGACCAAGAGTCCCCTCACTGGTGGGACTTCTAGCCCTGACTGAGTATTGTGCATCTCTGTAGCTGATGGGGCTCCCAGCCTCTGGGGAGATGCTGCTACATGTGGTAATTAAAAGCTGGATAGCAACTGGCAATAAAGATGGTACACGTTTTTGAGATCTAACTTTATAGTTGGTTGGACCTTTTTATGGAGTGATAGCTACTTTGCATGTGTAGGTGGTCTCAATTAATTGTGCAGTTAAACAGTTAATGGCACAATACTTGTAACATGTAGGGGGCTGAAGAGAATGTGAAGGCTGTCAGCAGATTTTGGCCCCCTCCCCCCAGCACAAGAATAATAATGTACTGATAAAATGAAAGGAAACAGTAGGGACTTGAACATCCAACTAGAATTCTTAGTGTTACAGATTCCCAAACTGTCTCTCGCACAAATTAACCTTCTTTGTCCATCCTGTTCTGACCCCATAGTGTGATCTCTTCTCTTTCTTTTCTCCCTAGCAATTTTGTATGGCATATCCTAGCATTTTAAAAAGATCAACAGGTTAACATACTTTAAGAGGTAGAGATTTTAACTCTGACTTCCAGTGCTCAGAATGCTTCAAGACTATTATTTTTAAAGCAAACTTAAATGTCATTGATGCATCATTTATCAGGTAAAGTGCTTCTAGGAGAAGAAGAAGGTTTGGAGGATGATCCTGAAACACGGTCTGAGGTCAGCACCACAACATTTACTGGTAGGTGTGCTGTCTCTTTAGCAGTAGGATTAATTTAATTCTGCACATCAGCCTGGAGTAGTAAATAACTCTGTCCTTCATGTATGATTGCCAAAAAAGGTTGTAGCTGATCACACATAGTGGTTGTCACTTACGAAGTGTGAGGGATTACTGATTTATGGGATTTTTATAGTTGAGTGTTAAAGAGAAAACGGTATGAATACATGATGACACATTAAACAGCTTTTAACAAATCACTTGTTTTTTGTTTTTGTTTTTTAAATAACATCAAGTCAAAATCTAGCAGGATTATAACTACTTTGATATTAAATCTGCTGCAAATCACGCTGTCAATTTATGTGGTTTTAAAGCACATTTTTCTGCTTTTTAAAAAAAAGTTTCTACACCATGTTACTGTGTTTTAGAGACTTAAACAATTGATATTGACCTATATATAATATCTTCAAATGCATTTAGTAAACAAATGAGAAATATTTAGTGGAAGAAATCAGCCAAATTTTTCTTGTTAGAGGAAGTGAATAAACACTAGTAACATTTTAAGTATTTAACAAGAAATGCAAAATAGCAAGTTACAACAATAAAGGAGATGAGAAAGGAGACAGTTTAAAAGAAAAAATACTAATCTTATATTTTGAAAGTTTACCATGACTGCTTAGGTGAATAGGCAATTCATGGAGGAGGAGAATATGCTACATTTATAAGTAAGTAAATAAATAAATAAAAACAGCTTCTGATTAAAATTTGGGTGCTATTTTTTCTTATTGGATTTTTTTAAAACCCTACTGTTTGGAGCTTTATCCAAGCTTAGAAAAAAAAAAAAAAAAGAAAAATGGTGACTGCAGTATTAAAATGCTTTAAGAACAAATATAGGTCTTGATGAGTAGCAATGCAAAATGTAGATATACAAGGAATTAAGAGCATTAAATGTAGCTTATTGCTTCATTTTCTGCTGCCTTGTAGAGGTATTTTCTCTTAGTTATATTTAATATTGGGTACTAAATGCATATGAATATTCTTACTTGCCTTTTAAGCAAAAACATTTACATATTTTTATATTGATGTTACGTAATTTGTTGTTTGGCTAACTAACTACTCTTCGTTTTCAGCCTCTATGAAGAGTGAAATAACCAGTGAATTGGCTTCTTCATCAGGTGTATCAACAGCTGGGTCAGTAGTAAGTTCTGCCACTGATCCCACTGGACATGATATCATCACTGAACAGCCACGTTCACAGCATACTTTGCAATCAGACTCTGTAGACTTGTCCAGCTGTGATTTGACCAGTACAGCTACTGAAGGGGAAGAGGATGACGTGCTTAGCCGAAGTTCCAGCCAAATCAGTGCTGTGCAGTCAGACCCCACTATGGATTTAAATGATGGCACACAGGCTTCCTCACCAGTTAGTGATAGCTCTCAGACTACTACAGAAGGCCCAGATTCAGCTGTGACCCCTTCGGACAGTTCTGAAATTGTAAGTGTGCAACAGGCAGAGGGGGGATCCCTTTCTACTGAGGGGCCCGACATATCTCAGAGCTCTTCCATGGAGGGCCCAGACTTGGACACTTCTACTTACTCGTCTGCTACTTTTCCGTCCTCCGCTAATAATCCTGAAAAGGTCAGGAGCTCACACCTGTAACAGAGAGCTTGACCTTGCTTTAGCACTTTTTCTGCAGCATTAAGTACAAAAGAATGGCTCTCCTTGTAGAACTTGTTGAACACAAGGCTTTAAGATTTCACCCATCTGTGTAAAGTTTGCAAAAAGTTACTCATTTCATTGGAAGAATGTTGAGAGGTCTGCATGAATATCTTGTTCCACTTGCACATTTTTAAACATATTAAAATTTAAACCAATAGTGTAAGCCAGTAGTGCTACTTGGAATAATAGATGAATACCTATTAAGCCTGAGTGTTTCAACCTGATGCTTTGCGTTGCTTAGTTTTTTCACTCATTGCCTGTGCTTGCTTTCTTCTTAATCTAATTAGTTTTACTTCTTTTTTTGTGTTTAATGTTTGAATTTTATAATATATTGGCCAAACATTGCTTGATTTGCATATGTAGCATGCATTGATGGAGTTAATCTTACTTCAGGAATATTATTTAATAGCAAGTGCTACAGTTACTTCACTGAGATCTTTTGAGTGACTGTTACTGCTGAAAAAATATTCAGTGTGGACACTGAAAATTGTTTAGGAAATGGGATAAAGGGCAAAAAGAAAAGGTGCATGTTAACAGCACGTATGTGAACTTGTTGAAAATAGCTTGGAAGAGTAAATGGCTCATGGTGTTTAAAAATGTCTAATTTTACAATGCTGACAGATGCTCCTTCACTAACATGCAGTCACTTGGGCATGTGAGGATACTGCTAATCTGATCAAAGCCTGACACTCACAATGCTGACTTGCATTAGCACTTGGCAGATTGTGCAGGTCTTTATATAGGCTTGAGCCTCTCTCTTTCAGGTTCTCAGCAATGAGGTAGTTGTCATTGGTAGTGATTGTCAAGCTTCAAGGTGAACACAGGTGGGGATTAAGGCACATTAAGGTTTAAGGGCTAGATCTGTTAGAGAACTTCATTTCCTAGCATCAGGAGTGGTATCCAGAACCCCGGGTAAGGGGCAGGCTTGCTTTCCCTCCAGCATGGTGAGGTGAAGGTAGTGCCCCTTTTTATGTAATAGTCTAGTGGTTAGAATCTCTGTCCGGGAACTGACAGATCACAGTTCAGTTTTCACCTCTGAGGGCACTAATTTTGCATCTCCTACCTTCCTGGAGAGCAACCTAATAGCTAGGCTAGATGAGATGCTTTCCAACCTTCTAACTGAAACTCTACCACTTAGAATAATGCTAGACCTGAGGTCCTTGGAGGGTTTGACAGCTGAACATTTTGACTGATGTTATTTATGGCTTTTGAGGCGGGGTTGGAGGTGAGCTGAGGTGAAGGATCATTTAGGCTCACAACATTGAGAAAGATGGAGGGAACTAAGCTGTAGCACAAGAGCTGCTAGACTTCAAGATAATCATTCAAGGTGGATTGCTATGGTAGACTTGTGAGGTGACATGTGTACATGCTGGAAAAGTGAGAAATCAGAGGTATAGGGTCAGCATGCTGCTGTATGCTAACATGCATCAGGCTGATTTTTGGTTTAGAACTAATTCTTTATTACTAATGCTGCATGCTTGTGATCTGTTTGTACTTTTTCACAAATGGGAGCTTAGATGGGACTCTTAAAAGTCCACTCTTTATATACCGTAGGTTCTAGAAGGGGCTGAAAGCCAGTATTCTGGAATGCAGATTGGACAGCTGCAGGATGAGGAAGATGAGGCTGCAAACCTTCTCCCAGATGAATCTTCGGAGCCTTTCAGAAATTCATCCTTTGGTATGTTAAATTGGGAAATTTTAACTACAAAACATACATCTCATCAAAGCTACCCATATTGGTATCTCTCTCCTGCTTTCTGTGGAGACTGTCAGCAAGACACAAATATCATAAAAGCATTGTGATGAAAATATGAATTACTGTATTTTCTTGACTATAAGATGACACTGAATGTAAGAGGACCCCTCAATTAGATTCTTTATATGAGAATTTCATAACTTTTTTATACTGTTCCAGGTATAGAATCTACTCATAGATTTCATAGACATTGGGGCTGGAAGGAACCTCGCAAGATCATCGGGTCCAGCCCCCTGACCAAAAAGCAGGAAGACAGCTGGTGTTAAATGATCCCAGCAAGATAGGCATCCAAGTGCTTTTTGTTTGTTTGTTTGTTTTTTTTAATGTATCCAGAGTAGGTGCTTGCACCACCTCTTGGGGGAGTCTATTCCAGGCTCTGGGGACTCTGACGGAAACAAAGTTTTTCCTTATGTCCATCCTAAAATGGTCTTCTAGAAGTTTGTGACTGTGGGACCTTGTCTTCCCTTGGGATGCCTTGGTGAACAGATGTACTCCCAGTTCCTGATGCACACCCTTTATGTACTTAAAGGCTGCCACCAAGTCACCCCTGAGCCTATGCTTTTCCAGGCTGAAGAGTCCCATGCCTCTCCTCCTAATGCCTGTTCTCTTATCCTTCAATCATTTGCGTGGCTCTCCTCTGGAATCTTTCAAACGTCTCCATATCCTTTCTGAATTGCGGAGCCCAGAATTGGATACAGTATGCTAGCTGTGGCTTCACCAAGGCTGAGTAAATTGGGAGGATGACTTCCTGGGTCTTGCTTTAGATGCATTGGTAGATGCAAGCCCGAGTTTTGTTTGCTTTGCCGGCTGTGGCATCAGATTAGTGGCCCATGTTCATCTTGTGGTAATCATGTCTCTTCCGGTAGTGGTGCTAGCGAGTGTAGCATGGCCGAGCCTACAAGTGTGGTGTGGGTTTTTTCTCCCAAGGTGGAGCACCTTGCATTTCTCTGTGTTGAATGCCATCAGGTTTTGATCTGCCCACCTACTCAGTGAAGGTTTGCCTTGAATCTGTCCACCTCCCACTGCTACAGCAAAGAAAATAAAACTGGGGAGTCAGGTAGCCAACTTGCTCTCAGTCCCCTCTTACCCCTGAAGCCCCTTCCCCCTCTCCATACTGTCAGACCCTGCTCTCCTTGAGCACATGGAAGTGAAGAGCAAATTTGAAAACCCTTACCTTGAAATAAACAGACCTGCATATAGTACACATAGACTTAGTTCATCCAGAATTGATACCTTTTCTGAAATGGCTGCAAATTTTAACACAATATTCCATAAACACACTTTTAAGTAGGTACAAAAGTGCTGCTTATGTATAGTACAAACTAGGTGTGATATTAGCCCAAACCAAAGGGCTTTTGATTTACCATATAGTTCATTGGACTGGGCACCAGCAGAGTTGACATCATTTCGAGCCATGGTAACCCCACAGCTCAGCACTGCTCAGTATGTGCATGTACTTCACACATCCCCTACAAAGGATCCATGTTCTAATTAGCCCCCCAGTCATGAAGGAACAGGTTCTTGTCATGAGTCCTGGGATTCTCCAAAATGTATATGCAGCTGAGATGCAGTGCAACCTAGTCTGGCTGCACCTCATGGAGGGCCAGGACCATACTAATCATATGTGACAGGCTGAGAGATGGGGTGACAGAGGGATTCTGGGTGAACTGTTTGGAGCCCTGTTTGATGTTTGCCAGACTTAAGACTTGTGAAGCAACAGGAATAGCTGGAAATGGGAATGAAAGCTGCAGCTCATCTGTGGGAATGAGGAGGAAATTGACATGTATACAACCTCGACACATGAGTCGAGGTAGATGTCTATACTTTAAGAAGGCCTTCAATACAGTATCGCATTCCATTCTTGTAAATAAACTGACAGGCTGTGATGTAGATGATTACATGGTCAGTTGGGTGGCAAATTGGCTTAGGAGTTACACCCAGAGAGTGGTGGTGGATGGTTCAATATTGACCTCTTATCATTACCCAGGTAAGACACGGGCCCAGATATCCCTGGGATTAGGGGGGCGGTGCATACACCTTCAGGAGTCCTTAAATGCCTATAAACTAATGCTCGTAGTATGGGGAACAAGCAGGAAGAACTTGCCCTCCTGCTAGCTTACACAAACCCAGACATAGTGGGGCTCACCGAAATGTGGTGGGATCCAACGCACAACTAGGCGGTGAACATAAAGGGCTATAGGCTGTACAGGAGGGATAGAACAGGGAGGAAAGGTGGGGGTGTGGCGCTCCTATGTCAAAGAACAATTCACATCCTCAGTGAGCAGCACTGGGTCAGAGGAGGGGCAGACTGAAGTGCTCTGGGTTGGAATGCAATGGGGTCAGGGGGAAAAGGACTTAACGGTGGGGGTCTACTACAGAACATCCAGCCAGGTCTGACTGCTCATGTAGGTTCCTAGCTGTGTTGCAGAACCTCTGTCTAACCCAGGAGGTGCACAGTCCCACCAGGGGAAATGCCTTGTTGGACCTGGTCCTGGCCACAAGCGACGACCTTGTGAGGGGACTGCAGGTGCCCGATCACCTGGGCGACAGTGATCATCACCTGTTGGAATTCACCATCCAGCATAGGGTGGCAAAGACCTGCAGCAAGACAGCAGCCCTGGATTTTAGGAGGGTGGATTTCATTTTGCTAAGGAGACTAGTCAGGGAGGCACTGAGGTCCCAGAGGGGTGGGGAGTTGGGAGTCCAAGAAGAGTGGTTGTTCCTACTCCTCCAAGCCCAAAGGGTGGCAATCCCAACACGGATCAAAGGAGGCAAGAGTGCTCAAAAGCCCCCATGGCTCGCCAAAAGCATCCAGGAACATCTCAAAGCTAAAAAGGAGATGTACACGCAATGGAAGGGAGGGGCCATCACCAGGGAGGACTATACATCTGTTGCTTGGGATTGTAGGGGGGCTGTTAGGAAGGCCAGGACGGAGATGGAACTGGGACTAGTAACCCAGATTAAGGATAACAAGAAATCCTATTTTAAATACATAGAGGGTAAAAAGAAGGTTCTGGGTAACGGGCCTCTGCAGGACATGCTAGGAAAGCTGGCAAAGCTAACCTATTTAACAATTTCTTTGCCTCCATTTTGTTGAGCAGGAACCAGGTCATCCCCCCCCAACCGGGATCCCCGTTGGTCCCAGGGGAGGCACAACCAGGCCCAGGGTCAGAGAGGATCTAGTCGGGGAACTTCTGGAGGGACTGGACATGTTCAAATCAGCAGGTTCTGACGATCTCCACCCCAGAGTGCTGATGGAATTAGCAGAGGTCATTGCGGGACCCCTGGCACAGCTTTACGAGCACTCATGGTGCTCTGGCGAGGTGCCAGAGAACTGGAAAAGGGCCAATGTGGTCCCCATTTTCAAAAAAGGGAGGAAGGAGGACCCAAGAAATTTATAGGCCTGTTAGTCTTACCTCGGTCCTGGGGAAACTCTTGGAGAAAATTATCCAGGTGCACATCTGCGAGGGGCAAGCAGGGGAGTGTATGCTTAGGGGCAACCAACACGGGTTCATTACAGGCAGGTCCTGTCAGACCAACCTGGTGGCTTTCTATGACTTGGTCACAAGATCTTTGGACGTAGGTGCCGCGGTGGATGTAGTCTTTCTGGACTTTAGGAAGGCCTTCGACACCGTCTCTCACCCCATTCTCGTTAAAAAAATTAGGAGATTGTGGTGTCAATGCCTACACAATCAGATGGGTCGCCAATTGGCTGGAGGGCCGCACCCAGAGAGTGGTGGTGGACGGGTTATTTTCAACCTGGAGAAATGTGGGCAGTGGGGTCCCCCAGGGCTCGGTCCTTGGGCCTTCGTTGTTCCATCTTCACCAGCGACTTGGATTAGGGGGTGAAAAGTGTGCGGGCCGGCTCCCGGTCCCGTCCTCACCGGGCGCGAGCCGGGCCCGTCTGTGTGCACGGGGGCTGTGGCCGGCAGGCCCGGCACGCGGGGGCGG